CAAAACGACTGCCAGTATTTTGTAGCAGTATATAGCTACAATTAACACACGGGTGTTTTTTTTTTTTAATTTTTCGTTGAGTTATCAGCTCTTTGCACGATTTTTGTTATATTCGAGAGATGACCATGATTACCTTAAACAATTTTAATGTATTGAAAAATGTCAACACTATGACACAGAGGTGCAGTATCGCGTGGTGTATCAAAACATGGTAATCCAACGTACGGTAATACGTATACACTCGGAAAGTATCAATTTTCATTACAACGTGGTCAATACACTTTCTAAGCGCGTAAACGCAACACCAGCCCGCGCAGCTCGATCTTCGGATCAAGGCCTCGTAACACATATTACATACTTACAAGCCCATGGCGCAAACAACGAGACGATTTTCCCGAGAGTCCCCGATGAACGTAAATAGTGTACCATTAGTTCGCACCTACTTCTCGGAAACCCGTACCCCCCATTAAATTGTTTTGCATCATGGTACCATGTACCCGTCGGCCAAGCAACAAGTTTCCATCTTGAAAAAGAAAAAAAAGTATGTAGTCATAACCGCATGCTTAGCTCGCGTTTGAGCTCTATCTCGTTGGCGTATATGTTCCAAGGCAGAGCGAGGCAGAGTAGATATCACGGGAGTATCTCCAGCCGAGAGGGAAAGGGAAAATGCCCAGCCTCGCGCATTAGCGTCTTACTCCCTTCCCCCCCCCCTTTTTTTTTCCTCGAGATGCACCATAGCACACGAGCGTGGGACTGGAGCGAACGTGCCTCGCGAGCTCAACAAAAGCCGGCCGGCACGTATACAATATACCATGTCTATAGATATTTATATATATATACGTAAGGGGATTTTAAATTATCTCGGGCAACAATTACACGTAATGCCGTTTTGAAACTTTTCGCAGTCTTTGAGTACAACTTTTTGGCTCGAAATCCAAGAAGACAATCGTCCTTTGCATCGAGTCGATTAAAAAATAATGTATTTTTTTTTTTTTTCTTTTAATATCTGTCAAAGCAAACGAATCATCGAAACTGTCCTACTTTTTTATATGTCGCATGCGCACACTCCTCTCTCGCACTCGTGACGGTATATTCCCAAGAGCGCCGATTTTTTCCCAACCGCGTTTGCCCACGTTTGCAGAGCGTACGTATAATACACGTATACATATGGATCTTTTGTTTGAGAATTGCGCAACTGCGCGCAACGCGTGTACGAGCCGCCAGAGCGCAAAGGCAAACTAACTTTTAACGCGCTTTACCGAACCGAGATATCGCGGCTTTTTTTTTACGATGTTTAAAGTACGGTGTACGAGCGCCACGGGGACTTGTGGAATTGAAATGGGCGCAGGAACATTGAAAAACGAGGAAAAAGATGAGAGAGAGAGAGAGAGAAACGTCATCTTGCACGCGAGGGGATCGCAAAGTGGGCTGCGAGAGGAAGCTGCATACGTTAGGTACCCGCGGGAGCAAAAAGAAGGAGGAAGAGGAGAAAGAGCCGCGAAAGTGACGGGCGGAAGGAAACTTTTTGCTTTTTTTTTCCGCGGCGCCGAGGGAGGTGTGTGTTATGTTTTCCAAACGGAGATGCGGTCGCGCGGTAATGGCAACAATAAACGTGTCTTTGGAACGGCAATAAAATGTAGGGCACGCACTCGCGGCATTGACGCGAAATGCCATTACAACGCCTCGGGACATAAAGTTCGAAATGAAAGTTGTGTGTTCATAGTTATTGGAATGTAGGTAGGTGTACACGCGTACACGAAAGATTTTCGTCGGGTACACTACCCGCAGCGTGCTTGCGCAACCTTATAGAAAGCGCGAGAAGCGTGTACTTGATTTTTTTTCAAGATCCTTATCAGCTCTAAATGTGATGTCGGGGAGTTCATTAGAGGATGGCTTCGAGGTATCGCTGGCACAGAGACGTGTACACGAGTTACGTAACGCGGGTATATAATATATGTGTACTCGTACCCTATGAATTTTCATTCTATTCTATCCATCGGCCGTGAGGTTGCCCTCTCGTTACTCGTCGAGGTCTACCTTATTAAACAAAAAAAAAAAAAAACAAAAACAAAAAAAAGAAAGAAAGAAAATAGCAAACGATCCACTTTTGCCCAAATAAAAGTACAATGCTCGCTCATCCTCTATATTTTCCGAAAGCCAATGTGCTCTCCACAGGTTAATCTACTCTAATTCTGATCGTCTACGAAATGGCTCACCTGATGGAGTAAGACTTTCCTGGATGTTTGGTGGCCATTGTACTTTTTGTTGATAAAGCAGTCAGCCAATAACAAGTACGGTGGCGTGACTTGGATCGGTTTCCTCCCTCGTTACCCGCGTCTCTTTGCTTCCCCGTACCATCGCGTTACATTCCGGGAGCTTCGCATCCACTCCTAGCTCTTGCGCGTGTGTATATACACGTATGTACGAGTGACGACGAGCACTTTCTGTGCGGATGTAGTGGTGCCGACTACAGCATCCTTTTGCCGGGGGAGAGTTGGCGTGTATACTAATCTACTCGAGCACGAATGCGGAGAAAAGCCGCGCGACGGTGATCGTTCCCCCATCCCCAGCGTTCCCAACGATCGGTACACGAGGCCCAGGTCCCGAGATTTATGGACGGAAAGGTTTTCGATTTTATATGGCTACTGCTCTTTTGTCAAACTAATTTATCGTGAGCTATGCTTGGTATTTTTCTGCTACTCGACACAATTCTTAGCTCGGCCATGTTTTTGTTTTGCTTTTTTCTCCTTTTTTCACGCATACCGAATAGCAAATGTAACAACAAAGAAACCGCGGGACGACAAACAATACACGTGGGTATTTTCACAGCTGGGCCCAAAGAACAACAAACGCATCACTGCTCGCACTTGCTAAACAGTCCAAACGAGCAAATGGGGATTATTAATAACCGGACCGAGATAGTAATTTAACTTTGAAAGGAGAAAAAAGTCAATAGCCTGTTGATGATCCATAGCCTACGGCTCGTTGCAAAACCTGCCCGGAGCAGTTGAACCCCAAAAAAATGTTCTTGTTTACTTGGGCGTTGTACCTGTCGCAGTGTAACAAGCCCACGTGTACTCGGCCCGAAAGTACAAACGGAGCAGCGAAGACGGGAAAATTCTCCACTCCCGCGCACCCGGCCTATATTTCGTGCACAACCCTGAAAATCGATAGACCGCACGCAGCATCTTCCTCTCTTTCTCGGCAACTGTACTTTCCGAGCGAGCATCGCACCCTCCGGTGTACATGTAATTTTGATCCCCGGAAGTACCGGCCCTATACCCCATCGTGAAGGATATCCTCGTGCTAGTTGTATAGATGCAATGGCGGCCAGTCGACCAACCTTTCTTTTTCTCCCGTTTCGTTCGGTGGGGAAAGAGCGACATATATTCTGTTAAGGAGACAGTCCTCTCGGGAGACGGACGGGCTGCTGCGCACGGCTGTCACTTTCCTCGGGCACGCGCATCACAACACGTGCGTACACATTATACCTATACTCGCTCGCGCTCCCGGAACGAAGGTTCTCGAGGGAGTTGTACTTGCACCTCTTGGGTTTTATTAGCCCCGCCGTGCGCGCATTTCCTCTATCTATGCTTGGTAGGGTTTTGCACTCGAGCTTCTTTTTCCTACGCCGTCCTCGTCGTTGGTTTTCCTATGACCACGCGTACATTCAACTTGCCGCCGTGCACGCATAACAATCTACCCGTACATATTTGCTTCGGTTTACTTAATTTTTCGTCGGCTGTCGTGGTGCAGTTGGTATATATCGTGGAATCCTCTGTCCCAAGTGGGTTTCGCATCTCGATAAAATATGGAAATCGCTTGAGGGGAGGAAAGAAAGTAAAGTGTCCCCATTGATTTGACGAAAGAGAATTTAAAAGAAAATAATAACTTCTATGAGTTCTGTTTCAATGATTTTTTATCACCGCTGGGAAAACATGTGTACATGTATTTTTTTATACGCTTCTAATTCAATTAACTCGTCATAAATCGTCGATCCGTATCTTGTTACACGTGTACGTTTATTACTGTGCTAGTTTTAGGAAAATCCGAATGTTGCCGTTTGAAACATTTCTTCCCATGAAAATAATATGCTTTATCATGGTTTTTTGCTTCGTTTAACATATTTCCCTTAATCATCAACTCGTCGACCCACGACCAAACAAATTTTAGAATGGAAGATGAAAAACACTGAAAAATTCAGAAAAGACGTTTCTACACTACAAAAAAAAAAAAAAAAAAAAAAAAAAAAAAAAAAAAAAAAAAGAGAGAGCTGGACTTTTTTGGAAACTCCTCCACCGCTTTAAAAAAGCTCGGATCCACGAGTTTCGAGCAGCATCACAACAGGGAGTAGTTCAAGCGCCACTAACACATCGAACGTGTTGCCTCGGATCATTCCAATCCCACGACGGGGTCACACTAAACAACGGAGGGTGTCAATGGCGCAAAAACCCCATAGTATAAGTACGTATAGGATGAAGAAAGAAAAGGAAAAGGTAAAAAGTTACATATCTTTCAGAGCCACCGCGTCAAGTAGTGACAGTAGAGAGAAAACGCGCACGCATACACGAGACTAATATCATTAAAAGGAGTTATCGAGCCGGGGCGCAGTTTTTTCGGGGTCACGTTGCACCTCCAATCAAGGCCGTTACATTACAACGCACACTCGCATCCGCTTATACTTCACCATCAGGTGTATTATAATACTTTGCTGGGTATAGCTGGTGCAGTGCTTTTGCATCAAGCTGCGTGTATATACCTAGCCCTACGCGCGCGTCATCGATTTTTCACCTCCACCCCCGAGCCACGAGCCACCCCCTCCTCTTGCTACGACAACCCCCTGCGGTATATTACGCGTTGGTGGTAAAAGTAAATTATTTCCTCGTATAAAAAGCAATAAACAAGAAATCAATGGACATCGGGCTGACAACACATACTCGAAATACTTGGGCCGAAGGACAAAAAAAGAGGAGAACAGAAAGTACTTGTACAAGTCGCACCTCATCATGTTTCCTTGCAGTCGGTGATGACGGTCTCTTCCTCGAAGGCTCCCGGAACACCGTGCACAGGGTCCTCAGGAAGATCCCATTCGCGTACAACCGAGCGAGTACAACTTGGGCATCCGAATAATCACACCCACGACACGAGGCGAACTTTGCAAGTTGTCCGTAGTTATATCACGAGCCAGCTGGGATTTACACTCGCGAGTGTAGGCACAACGGAGGAGGCGGCTGCCGTTGGACACCCGACGCCGACAACATCCCGGGCTGGAATGACGACAGCAGCAGCAGCAGCGGCCGGGGAGAGCACGGCCAGGCAGCGCTCGCGCGCGCGCAATACCGGCTCTCCTCCACTCCTTCAACCACGCATTCCGTATACTCACAGGGTGGCAGTGATGTACCAACCAACACACACGATGCAACACCCCAGTGTGTGTATAACGTGGCCGAGGGGTCGTTATTCGCTAACTCACCCTCCGTCCTCGCCGAGTCCATCCGATCTCTCCCCCCTATATCTTCCATCCCTCCCTCAGCCCTCGATATTATGCATGCGACGCGGGCGAGGCAATATATTAGCCGCACGCGTGGAATTTCTTTTGTTCATCCCGTGACACCGTGCAGCTATGGGTGGTACACGTACGGATTCCCCCACGTCTCTCCCTCCCCGATTGCCGATGATTTCGCGCTTCATCGCCATGTGTATGAGAGCTTTTTTTTTTTTCTCTTTCCCTTCCTGCACCGCGGAGGTTCTTGAACTCTTCTAGATCGGAGTTTTGTGCGGTTGTACTTCGGAAAACGGCTATTTACGTGGTGGAAGCGACCTCTGACCTGGATCTTTTGGAAATACGCGCGGGTCCCAAACCGGAGCTTCCGAGTATTCCATGGAAGTGCCAAGAACTGCTTAGGCAACCGGTGCGAGTCTGAAACGCGGGTGTACGGGCACACCGTGCAATTATTAACGTTAGAGTTAATTGAGCGCGAGGCGGACGCTTTCGGTGCTTCTTAAAATAATGCACGGTGTAAACGCGCGCTCTTATCGTTGGCGACTCGGGCTGGGTGTACACCATCGCTTTTGTACTGCACTCTTTTTTTTTGTTCTGCTAGAAATAGGTGGACGTGCCAAAACTCCGCCATCCGTATAAAATGGGCTATTCTTCTCGCAGCGAAAAACCAATCGATCGTCCCGAGATTTGCGGATGTGAAATGGGATGTATATGTATCGTACGAGGTGCCGCAGTCTTGGCGCACCCCGTTTTCGATCGTCAATTTCGATCAAAGATATTACACGTGTGCGCGCCCAGAGAGGTAAGGAAAAATTATACTTATGGGTAGTGATGGATCGCAATTGCTCGTGAAATTAAATTCTTCATTTTCCTGGAGTAAGAAAACGTTTTACAAAACCGTACGCGAGAGATGTTGGCTTCTTCAACCACACGCGGCAATAACACTTGCGATAAAAACGATCGTCAGCTAATTCAGATAAGATATACATACAGCTCCATCGCGATGAGCGCACCCGCCAACGCGGTAATAAAATTTTCTCGGCAAGTGTGCGTATGCTCGTGCTATTTGCATACCGTCGCGTGATTACGCGTGTAATGATCTTGAATTTATTCATTGTTTCAACAGATGCCCGTGCGAGAAGTAAAAAAACCAAGGAAAAATAATCGTACCTGGCCATTGTGCCGAAATTTTTTCACCACCCAACAAAGAACCTCGAAAGGTGCTCTATTCTCGTCACTTTAAGCTCTTGAGCGGCCACAAAGTCGATCGGTAACACGCACTCACACACGCATCATTCAAGATAAACCGTATCACTTGGCCGACTAATCGTGAGCGCCACTTGTCCCTAAGCTCGGCAATAAAACACTGAAATCATGGCACATACCAATACGAGCCAAACTAGACGTTATACAATGCACGAGCAACATAGTTGGAGTAGAAAACATGAGCCATCGGCGACGTGTTCCCGAGATTCCGCGCGATAAGCTCCCTCTCTTTCTCTCCCTCGCGTGAAAATAGCGCGCCTCGTCGTCGCGCTCAGCGCCTCTCCTTCTCTGCCGCGACTTTTGACTGCACCGCTTGTATTCAATGAGTGTGGGGACACATTATTGCGAACACGGTGTTTTGCTACCACCTTCTTTTTATCTTTCGTGCCTTTCTATATTTTTTTTTTCAATCACATACATTTTGAACCACGGAGTGATTTTTCTCGTACCACCCGAGGAGACCTACTTTACGACCTATTCCAGCCCAACGCGCGGAGCTCTTGAATCACCGGCGGGTTGCCGCCCACGCGTGTTCAATCAAGCCGCGCTGCAAACTATTTCATCACAGCTTCCCCGCCCATATCCGTGATGTTGTTTCGATCGATGTACCAAGGGAGGGAGAGTAGAGAGGATGGAAGGCATCACCGAGGCGGAGTTGATTGAATCTGTCTTGCGGGCTGATGAGGAGGCTGCCTCTGGGGGGCTCGTCCATTGTCTCGTCTTATCGATCATCGTCGTATCCTGTACAGCACATGTGGTTATCCGACAAGTAGAGCTTGAAGGGAGAAAAAGAAAATATGGACCAAGCTAGAACTGGCCAAAACGCGCGTCATCAAAACAACGGGCCCATCCGGCAAACTTGCCGATCCATGGCCATTACTTGTGTACCGATCGGCACTTCTCCCGAGCAGCTCTCGTTGGCCGAAAGGAGCTTTGGGCGCATTCTCCGTTAATTGCCGTGGCAGAGTGTAGGGAGTGCCTGGCACAAAGACACGAGAGGAGGAGCCCGAAACAGTTGGGGTGAGAAAGCGCGGTTGACATACCTCGCGCTCCAGACGCGTAAATCGCTCGGCGGCTCTCGCGTGCTCTTCCGCGGACGTATATACATGTATATTTGCATGGGTATACGTGCGCGGGAGATAAATATAGAGGCGCGTCGACGCTGGCCCGGGGTATAATGTATAATGCGTGTCTCACGCTCGTTCTCTGGACTTCTTCCTCCTCGTCGTGGTTGCTTGGATGAACTTCCTTTCCGTGACTCTAGCGTGAGTCTGTTTGTTTTGCTCACCGACAAAACAGTTTTCACGGGGATCACGTCTTTGCGTTTCACCTGCTCTGTCACGTTTTTTTTTTTTTTTTTTTTTCATAAGGGCACCAGGTGGTAGGATGTCCTTAATGGAGCGAAAAACGACAGCCGAGCAGCGGACGGAAGCTCAGTCGGGCGGAAAGAGGATTGTTTTTCGGGTTACTCTTAAACAGGTCGTGTTTTTTTTTTTTTTTTTTTTTTAATTGTCTCGGACAAGGTACAAAGTTTACAAGGTGCTGTTGCGTGTAGAGTCAAAAAGTATTTTTTTTTTTTTTTTAAGCTGCTTTAGATTTCAATGTTCAACTGTGAAGGAATCTGGTTTCTCAGCACCTGGATTTCTATGTCCCATGAACAGGGGTGAAAATTATCTCGGGTAGCTGGTAAAATTGATGTCTCCAGAATCTGCACACGTAGAGGAGATTCACGAAACTTGAGTGTTTATTGGTAAGGAGTAGAAAATTAATTAAGAATCACGCTTTTGCATAAAAAAATACAAACTGTATGGATTATTAGTCGGCGGTGATGCTGGCAGTAGTGGCTGGGAGAAAAGATGTGGCGATTAGATGAAACTGAAAATTCATAAAATAAAAGATTTGTGGGAGAATTAAGCTTGACTCCCAACATCATTCGGTGAAAGCGATCTTGATGAAAGAAACACACATTTTTCGAGTATTAAAATAATATCTAATTGAAACGATCTGCCTTTGGGAATGCAAATCGGGAGCAATACCATCGAGGATTTCGGTATCTGAAAGCTGGTAACCTACATCGTTGCTTGATTTTTTTTTTTTTTTTTTTTATACCGCAATCATTATAGATTTAATCACCTTTGAGGAATTCACACGCTTTCATATCTTTTATAGCGATCAATTTTTCGTGGATTCCTTCGCTGTTTAATACAAATTTTATGCAAAATAATATTCAAACACGTAAAATCCGATTTTGCGCTACCTATCACGTCTTTTCTTCATTTAACAGCGCATAAACAGAATACCTGATCGAAGAAAACCAAGTACGGTAAACTTATGGAGGCTACACATAAAGAATCACATAGTCTCCGTGCAAGCACACGTTTGTACACTTTGTACTTTCGAATCGTGCACCAGCGCACCTGCAAATGGCCAGACGAATAAAACGTACACGAATAAATCAAAGCTATACGGTGTATAATGGTAAGAAATTTCCATTGTATATCGACCGTGTATATACTCTTGAATAAAAGTAACTCTCACGTGCTCACAGCTGTAACGTCACGGCGAGTAGAAAACACACACATACGAGAGATCCTCGATGAGAAGGGGGAGAAAAAAGTGTCTCTTTATCGACAGCAACATGTGGTGCTATAATCCAACGTATTTACGGGTCGCCCCAATCAATGCCCTGATGATGTACGATAAAATCGCATACCAACTTTGCTTTTGCGTGATTCTAGACAGACGTGCAGACAAGAGTTCACAACTCGCTGCCGATCAAAGATCGGGCTGCCGAGTTGGCTCGACAAAGCGGAGGAAGGAAATTTAGCAAAGACAAAAATTTTATAATGCTCTTTCAAGAGGGTATATATGTATATATTTACACAAGTAGGTACTGCGCTTAGCTTTTGGTCCACGCACCTAGTATGGGGTCATCGCGTGTATACAACTCGAAAGGTTTCCAGTGTTTTGCCCCGTGCGCCGTAATCCTGAACAAACATATATATAAAGGATAAATGCAACCTTCTCTCTCTCTCTCTCTCTTTCCTGGTGTGCCTTTTGCTTGCCCTGCAGCTACGACTCTTTCTATTTGCACACGTATTTATACTTACTAAGCCCGAGAATATTTCTGTGAGCCGCGCGATGCTGTGTTCCATGCATCGGCTGTGTACCAACTCGTATACGTATGGGTATGCACGTATTGCGCAACCGTACATGATATAACGATTTTAGCAGCGGCCGTACGGGACCGTTTGATTTTGTATGAGCGTAAGTACAATATATACACGGATAAATGAGCTATTTGAGGAATCTGAGAGCACTCTCAAGTTTTGAGTATATATATCATACGTCCGAGCATTCGTACATTGTGCCGGCTTTGCATGGATTATATGTGCCTGATTTTGCTGGCTGCACATTGTTTAATGAGCCATTGTGACGTGTGTTTCGTTGTATACGTATACCCTGTGCGCTGAAGGTTTGTCTACGGGTACTGGATGCATCGATCGCGCGGGCGAGCGTTCGTATATTTATATGTATATATATATATATATATATGGTACGCGAGGGTGTGCGGGGATTGTGTAATTTTCAAGATAACCTGACGGTATGAAATCGGTAGCGGTATCTTCCAAGACTATATATTGTAGATGTGCGTAAGGGAAGCATGAGAATTGTTGCCAAAACATAGAGCGAGTGGTTTGGATGGCAGAGAGGTGAGTTTTGTGTGGTCTATTAAAACGAGGTTTCTTCAAGCCTCTTTATCTCCACTGGTGTGCATCAGGAGCGTGTGCTAAAATGATCTTTGAGAAATTCTCCGTTCACAATGGCATGAATAAAATACCATAAACTCATCGTGTGATGCTATTCGCAATTTAAAAATAAGTACTCATATTTTTTTTTTCCTTCGTTTGCACGATGATTATTATATAAAGTCGTTAAATTTTTTTATGTATTACGTGTGTCACTTTCATAAAAGAACAATATCAAAATCACCCTTTTTCTATAAGCAAAGATTTTTACATGATATATCTTGTCTTAACGTGGACAAATAAAAGTTTTAAAATGGTAACAATCGATTTTGCTAACTTTTCCGACGTTCGATCGAAACTTCAATGAGGAAAAAGGCTCGGTAAAACCTTGGCCATAGAGGGCCACGAAACCACACCCTGCAGCTACCATCAGTCGAACCCTAAACTCCAATCAAACAAAAATCATTTATTCACCCTTCCAAAAAAAAAAAAAAAAAAGAGATCGAACAATCAAACAGCCAAATCACTACTTTTGTGCCCGTCCCAGGAATAATAATCCACCGAGTAATTTTAAAATCCACGTGTAGAGGCCCAACCCAAATCTGCGTCCATCACTTACACCTCGACAGCAAGAAAAAAGGCATCCGTAAACGTACATTGCAAGCATCACGTATCACACCAGAGAAAGCATTAGAACATGATATACCGCGTAGGCGTCCCTGACTCATATAGTTTAACACAGCCAACCCTTTTTTTTCCCAATGTATACGCTCTAAGGTCAGGCCTGACCTATTCCTAAAGAACGACGGGGCTGAATTCACTGCAGAGCTTTGCCACACCCACGATTAGCGTGGTGCTTCCGTATATCACAGTCCATACCGCGGTCCCCTCGCTTCGGCACAGTCATCACATCATATAAGCCGCGTAAACCTATCGCCACTCCAATGCGCAAACCATCTGTATTACATACATACACGCGTGCGTGTGGGTGCTTTTACATGCAGCAGATTTGCTTTCTTCCGGCATGCACGCGTGTAAGTTATTGCGGAGGTATCGGTCGATGGGATTCGAGAGAGAGAGAGAGAGAGAGGTATATATATTTATATCGTTTATCCACGTGGCGCAACTTTGGCCATTGGATTTTATTTCCGAGTTTCGTGCTTCAAGTCGGTCACGTGCGTAAAACACACTCGTTCGCTCCACACACCTGCGCCCAAAACTAATCCTCTCAAAGCGACGCGCTGCGGCAAAAAGTTTACCACCTACGACGAGAGTACTGCGGCAAACCTGCAATGAACGGCCTCCGCTCCAAGCAACTCTCTTTCTGCATCGAAACGAATTTACACGTTTTCGATCTGATATACGGGCAGCTCAACGCTAAGCGGCGCCTCTGGTGATGATCATCATCATCCCTTTTCTCTCTCCCATTACACTTGCATGTACATACAATGTATATATATGCACACAGGCGTTATCGCTCGGAAAGTAAAACTCACAGCCACGCCCATTTTGGGATACACATATACATAAACGCTCGTTTCCGAATTGGTCACGAGAAAACCTTCGCCTCACCGAAAGAAGGCGCGCGCTGAAAAAGGGCTCTTATCTAGCTGCCGGGGAAATAAAGTATAATTGTGGCCCAAGAACTAGAGGGGGGGAAGAGCGCTGTTGTTGAGCCGCGAGGAAAGCAGTGGAGATCGGCTACATATACCAGGTTGGGATAAAAGTTTCGGCGTGACCTGCTTTACGCATACGAGAACCGCGTATAATGAGGCAGCGCAGCCGTGACCTTACGTGAGCTGATACCCGATACGCGGCTATACGTTGCTGTTGTTGTTGCTGCTTCAGATTTAGCGGGGAAAATTTAAAACGAAAGTTTTTGCCTAGCCCGCGCCGTTTCGCCTTTCACCTTTCAGATCGAAAACCTTTCCCCGACCTTTTGCCGACAATCTCAATGTCGTTTGCGTCAATTACATTGTATGTACTTTTGTAGCATCAGCAGTGCACTTTGGTTAAACTTGGGGAAACGGAAAAACAATGGTATAAAAATATCACCCATTACCGATTATTTGTTGTCTCATTCGAGGGTCGGAGTAACAGCACTGCGTTTATTGTTGATGAATTCTCGTTTTTCTCTGTTTATCCGCCATCGTCTTCGCGACGATCCATGAAAGTATGTTATTACGAGTGTCAGTTTGGATTCCCTAACCAAAGTATTATCGGCTGCTGCGTCACGTACAGTAATACATGCGAGATAATAATATGATATTTGCTTGCAGTAAACAAAAAAAAAATGTTGTTATCGCAGTTTGCGACGCATCACAAGCGAGTGCAGCTGCTTTATTGAGTATACCCACACGATATGTTGGGACGTATCGTTCTATTGTTACTTTTTGGTTTCGAGAGTGCGACTTTTTCCGCGGCCGCTCGTCCATTTGTTCAAACTCATCTTGGGGGCATCGTGGGTTACCACAAGGTATCTTTCGGCGGACGCAGGTACGAGGCGTACGAAGGTATACCCTACGCGCTACCACCAATTGGAGAGAGACGATTCCAGGTGAGTACATAATTTTGTCCGCGTATACATCCCGTGCATCTAAAACACACACAACCGGCCGTAGCCACCCGAACTGGTCCGAAAATGGATGGGCAATCTGACGGCAACGAAATCGCCGAGTCCCTGCATCCAATACCACCACGAGCACTTGAACTACCGAGTCCTCGGCACCGAGGACTGCCTCTACTTGAGCGTTTACGTGCCAACCGAGATAAATGGCAGTCACCCACTACCGGTCATATTCACCATCCACGGAGGGGCATTTCAGTTCGGCTCGGCGCTCGCGGGTGCGAGATTCCTCATGGATAGGGACGTCATAGTCGTGGGGATAAACTACAGGCTCGGGCCCTTTGGCTTCCTGAGCACGGAGGATGACGGGGTCGTGCCCGGCAACATGGGACTCAAGGACCAGAGCGCGGCTCTACGCTGGACCTCGGAAAACATCCGCCACTTTGGCGGCGACCCCGAGAGGATCACTTTGATCGGTTACAGTGCGGGCGGGGCCAGTGTCCACTTTCACTACTTGTCGCCGATGAGCAGGGGGTTGTTCCGGAATGGCTTGTCGTTCAGCGGTACGGGCTTCGGACCGGGAAAGCATTGCGAGAACTCGAGGGACAAGGCCCGAAAATTGGCGGCTGCTTTGGGCTGCCCCACGGAAAGCACGCGGGAGGCGATCGAGTGCTTGAGGTACAGACCGTCACGGACGATATCGGAAGCGACGAAAAACTTCATGGTAAGAGTTGTTTGTTGATCGCATTTTGCATTGACGGGACTGAGCGTATACATATATATCTGGTGTTCCTCGAAAGCCATGGCTGTACAATCCGTTCACCCCCTTCGGACCAGTCATCGAGGCAGTCGGCGATGAGCCGTTCATGAATCGCTCGGCAGCGGAGATCATCGACAGTGGAGACGTGGCCGATTTGCTCTGGATTACCGGTGTCGTTAGCGAAGATGGGCTTTATCCGATTGCGGGTAATTACTCGTTATCTGACGGGTGCTCGGATTGATTTTTATCGTTTGTTTGCGTATTTTGTTGTTTATTCTCATTTATTCCTCCGAGAATTCATCAACGACGAAGATCTACTTGCCGATTTGGATAAAAACTGGGAAACCATAGCTCCACATCTTTTGGACTTTAACTATACCGTACCCTTGGATGAGCACGCAAGTGTTGCTAGAAGTATTAGAAGTCACTATTTCGGTACAAAACCAATCGACAAGAGAACGACAAAGGAATTGATAGCCATGACGGGTGATAGGCTGTACGCGGTTGATGGCGAAAAAGCAGCGAAAGCCCAAGCCAAAGTGAATAAAAGTTCGGTGCTCTTTTGGTACTACAGCTATCGAGCTCTGACGAGTGCGAGCGACCTTTTGAGCGACACCATGGATAATTACGGTACTTTTTTCGTTTCCAATTGAAAAACAATTGAAATTATACACATTTGACTGATTGTACATACGCTTCGTAAACTATGATTTTATCTAGGTGTTTCCCACAGCGACGACATTGGTATGGTATTTGAGAACAATTTCATGTACCCACCGATGAATGCCAGAGACCGTGCGATGCAAATTAAATTGATCGATCTCGTTGTCTCTGTGGCGGAGAAAGGGTGAGCCATTTTTTTTTCGAACCTAGTATGGGGTAGCAAAGAAACCAATTTTTTTTTTTTTTAATTTTATTTTAGGTATCCCGATTTGAATCTCGACTTTGAGTGGGAAAGAGTCGACCCGAGCAAAGAAGAGCTCGATTACCTCCACATAGCAGGTCCTGAAGTTATTAAGATGGAGAGCAAAGCCAATATGGGCCAGAAACACTTTTGGTCAACTATCGACTTCGACGAGAATAAATTGTGAGATTGTGAAAAAAAATTTACACCATTTGTTTTTTTTTATAAAATTTATTTTTCCATTTGTGTACACTAATCTAATGATCTGAAGTAATTATTGTGATTTGGCGTTAAATTTATCACATAAAAAAAAAAATCTGTAAATAAAGTTGATATAGGTTTTGAATAAAACTTTTTAAAGTCCACGTACTTTGACCAGTTCTCAGAGGCTGGAAGGTGTGAATTAAAAATAAATCCAACATAAGCTTCGTCGTAGCCGATTTCTTAAAATATACAGCCCTTAAAAACCGTCTGCGTTCTCCGCTGAAAATTCAAAATAGCAAAACGTGCTTTTATCGCCTGTACTGGATTTTCCTTCGAAGGAACCCAACGCCACTCGCCCGTTTTGCATTTCCCCGTATTCCCACCAGGCAACCACCTAATATTATTCTTGATATTACTCAGCGACCACTTTGGGCGACGTACTGAGCATCACGACGGATAATTGCTGTACTCACTTCACATATTTTTACAACAAACCAATTGTGTGAAATTAAAATTGTTTTAATGTACGAAAAGCCGCCGGGAGCTCAGGAGTGATAAATCAAACGGCCAAAATGCCATCGTATATTAAAAAGGCCTCTGTCGAGAAAAATCCACGCCCACACCTCAGAGTAACCGGTTGGAGCGATAAATTGCGAGCTCGGAATAAAAAAATGAATCACAGATTTTCCAACGAAACCAATTGTAATCAACAACAATAATGATAACGAAGCGAGTGCGTGCGTTATACGTTGTGGGTATTTTTTCACAGTTGCGGCGAGTCGAATCGTTAACCATGTAATTAAACCTGGTTAGGTGAGCGGAACTGTGAGCGCATACTCACGTGCCATCACAGCGAGAGAGTCCGGAGTATAAGTAAGCCTATCATCGCATATTAAGTTTACTTTCTAGCGGAGCACTCGAAACGCGACCCCAATGTGAAATGGCCCCTCTTCGTGGATTACGCGCAAACTCAACCCGTCCGCCATTAATATCTATATACAAGCAGCAATTGCTGCTTTTTTTTTTTTTTTTCTTTTTTTTCTTCTTTATTTTTCTTGCACTCTTGCAAAACCTACGAATCATCGTCAAGGTTGAAGCATGCACTTTTTCACCCCACGTGTGAGGTATCGTATTAAAAATCTATACGTGTGTATTCTCTTCGGTTCTGGTGTGCCACACGGAGCACTAACCACGTCAGCCGATAGACCAGACTTTTCCGGTGCAAACGGTCGTGACATTAATACCACTTCAGCGGTGTGAAAACAGTGTCAGCCGAATTAGCCAGGCGGACTCTCTATACCGTATGCAGTGCAGCTTGCCAGCTTGTGTACGTACACGCTGTATTTTATCGCAAGGAGGGAAGTTTCCTACATACCCGAGAGTCTCTAATTCCATTGCCACTTGTGTGTTGTTCATTTATATGTCAGTGGCAGTACTATACTATCACTTTGCACGTGCGTGGGGTATACACCTACTTCTCAAATTTGATAATCTGATATCACTCTCGGATCGAGTTGATCGCTACGTAAGGGTTACGTATATGTGTATATTTTTTGTCCCATCGTGTGTAATCGAGTATACTGCGTTGCTCAATAGAAAATTTATATTCATAATATCCATCACGTACGCGCACGACACGCAGCAACCTACTGCGCTCATAATTTGGACGATTTTTGTCACTAGCGAGCTGGTCCATGGAAAACCAGTTTGGTATAATTATTACTCAAACGGCTAGGCCCGTAAATTTTCATTACACATAAGTACCGTTGCTTTGGATACTCTCTTATCGTCTTGGCGAAATCTGCGTTACAGCATGATCGATGTGTTTCTTGCGGTCAAGTTTCACGATTGACCGGCAACAGGCACGTACAGTGACGGGTGAACTTCTTATTGGGGATCTTTTGCTTTACCACATTTGTACTTCACAGGTGTATATAATTAAACTTTCACTAATCCTCGACTCGATAACTGTACATTTTTTTTTTGTTTTTGTTACAACACATTCACGATATTTCATGTTACACGCACGAATTATATTGGTATTCAACAGCACGTGACTGCTTAGCTGCCTTTTAAAAAAATGTCGCAGGAGGTACAATCTACGAGATCTCAAAAAGCCCATCCAATAATAACGACCAAATGAATATTCATGACAAAACCGGCGTTGGCACTCGTGACTTACTGACCGAAACTAATAGACGCGCGGTTGGATGGAAACGCCAAGCGGATGATACGGATTACACGTGAGCCGCGAGGCGATTAAAATACCTCCTCTCGGGGCAGAGTAAATTGCACCTCCACCGATAATCCGGTAGCAGGACGGAGATTTTCTCCACCCGAGGTGCACTGATGGGACCCGAGTGTATACGGGAAAAAAAAAAAGGAAGGGTGAGTGTATATAACGTGCGCACTAGCACGGATAAGTGCAGACTCTTGCTTTCTTCTCTGTGCGCCTGTGTACCTCGCGTGCCTGTAACTCGAGGCGACGTGGTGGTCGAAACCGGTTCCCCTCGTTCTCACGAGTGCCTCCTCGGGGACTTTATTCTGGTCATTAGAGCTGGTCTGTGTTTCCGCAAACTGGCGAGTCGCCACGACGACCGCTTCACCCCGAGGAGTCGTCGCGAGCGCAAACGCGGCCTCTTCGCTTGGTTATTTATTTTTTCCTTCCCCGTAGCACGTGGAACCACCAAGACCGACTAAATTACGCTGGTTATACATGTAGGCTCTTTTGCCTTTAATGCGCGGAATCGTATATATTTTCTTACCGATCGAATAACGTGTCGATAACATTTCCCATTCACCTGTTGGAGGAGACAGGCGTGTGATGGAACAAATCGCTCGTCCGAGGCATCCGATGTGCGAGAGAGAAAATTACATCCGCGCACGCCCGAAAGGCCCCTTTGGACGATTCAATCGATCGCCCCGCGTTATTTTCGTCTCGGGGTACGCGCGCCGGCTTGATTTATCGCCCATTGTTCGCCCAATTGTTATATACCGTCGCGGTTCGATCGTGATGGCCATAAACAATGTCCGATGAAAAAAAAAAGGCCGGGCGTGTAATTTTTTTAATTAAGAGGCCCGTTTTTCCCTTTGCCCGGGTAATACGCTCGCTTACCGAAACTACCGCGCGATTTATGGTATATACGGCTCCTCGGTGCACCCCTCGCGCGCTCTCGCCCATAACTAGACCATAACGGAGTGCGAGAATCGTAAACGTCTCTCAAACGCTCGGGATATCTTTGAGGCAAGAGAGCGTGTTTGAAGTTTCGGTCTCTCTCTCTCTTTTTTTTTTTTTTTTTTTTGTTCACTCCCCGTCTCTTCGAACGGTAATTTCCTTCCTGTGCTTCCTGTAATGTGTATTTTTAGAAGGGACTCTGCGGATGCGCTTGGTTATTATTACGATCGAGAAAATCAAGACATCATCGATCGGGTGTAGTGTTTTTCATGAGCTGTAAAGTAGGTAAAAAAGAAAAAAAAAGAATTACACAATTCGAAAAAAAAGTCCCCTCGCTCCTATCTAGATCGAATGAAATTCACTCCTTATATACTGTGAGTACGAATATACCTCAACGGTATCCCGGGGATATTTTTAAAAAAGCCCACGCAAAACCTTCGATTGTTCGCGCAAAAACGAGTATGTATATATATGTAGGTAATAACTTGTGTATCGAGCCGCTGCATCTTTTCCGCGTTGCGAAACAATTGCAGCCGCTCACCTGAACAGACGATCGAGTTAACTGTAACCACCTTATGATATTCTGCAGGCGATATCAGCGCTCGCGCTGCCGGTCTCTCTCTTTCGTGGGCGAATCACGCGACAATCCATAACATTTTTTTTTCTTCCTTGGACAAAAATAAAGTCAAAGACGCGGTGTGTATTTATACGCTCGATTGACTTTTTTTTCGACTCGATCACTCTGCACTGGTCAGCCGTCGACTGGCGGTTGTATCACCTGCTCGAGGTGTGGGCTCGTTTTTCGAGGTGCCAATTTTTTTTTGTTCCCCGTCTTCCGGTCCTCTCGTTATCGGTAGTGAAAGTGCACGCCCGAGACCGGAAACTCGTGGCGCGGCCTTTCAATTTCAGGAGACGGCTTGAAATATTTTTTTCGCTCCTCGACGAGGTCTCCATCTATATGTGTACAAGTACTTGCTCAGCGATTTTTTTTTTGCGTTTTGCGCTTGACACGATAAATAACGGAGTACTTGCTTGTGGAGTTTATTGAATGTATATATTCTTTTTTTTTATCACTATCTTGCAGGACTTGTTTTTTTTCTTTTTTCATTGACTTATCGGTCCTTGCGTGGTAAACGGAATTTGATTTCTGCTTGGAAATGATTCTTTTTTTGATTTTACGAAATCAATAAACTTTACGTTGTATTAAAGTGACGCCCTTCATATGGGGTATTTATAAAATTAAATTGAAAAAAAAAAAAATGATTCCAGAGCCACGCAAAAGTTGTCTTGCGATTACATCAGTTATTTGCTATAAAAGGTCTCATTTGAACGTTACAGAATGTCGTTAATCAGCTTGGCAAATATTATTTAGAGGAACGAACTAGAGGCAAGAGGCATATCAAAGAGATATATATATAAGTACGGCTTATCGCCTCGTGCAAATACCGTCGACTGTTATTATTTTTTTTCGTGTATACGCCGCAAACGAGATAATAATCCAACATTCCTTTGTGGAGTCTTTTATTTATTCTCTTGAGAGTACGAGATATTTGTCGCTGATTAAAATATGCATCGCAAAAAAATGAGTTAAAATGCGTTTATTATTCCAGATGCAAAAAAGAGTATTCGGGAAACAACGAAACGCTCTTTGCACACGCTTGCGTCATCTTCAAAAATGAACAATTGCATTTCAATCTACTTCGTGGAGAGAAGAAAAAAAAAACAATAGTATACATGCATCGCACGAGCCTTCGTTTCGCCTGTTTTCTTTTCTACGTATTGTTTCACGTAATTTCCCCGTGTATACATAATTATATATACGTACAACCACTCACACGTAACACTCCGTAATCTAGCTTGATTGGCTCTCCCATGGAAGGCTAAATTTTTTTCCTCTGCTTCTCGAGGCTCTTGCTCTCTGCCAAGTTTTCGCGTAAACGAGGTAAATTATCACTCTCACTCCCGACTCACTTTTTTCCCTCAAATTCAAGGGTTTTTCATGATTTTTCTTAATTGTTCGTAACAAAAGAAAAAAAAAAGATTTAATAAACAAAACCTTCTTTTGTACAAACGTTTTAGCGCTTCCCGGGCGATTACAGGTTGGCACAAAAAAAAGTGCCGAGCAAGATAGGGGGAAAAAAAAAGAAGAAAAAAAACGCGCTAACAACAAGAACAGAGCCTCTGCAGTATAGGTGCTACTGTACGCGCTCACGTTCCGCTTTGGGCTTATTACCACCTCTTGGCGAGACCATTATACAGCCTCGGGGGCCCGTTCGTTTGCTCGCGTATTGCACATATGCAAATATATATAGCTTGTACGCGACACATGAACGATTTCGCCGACATAACGGAATCGAATAACAAACGACGTATTATTTTACTGACAACGCGCTGATTTATTATCATTGTCGTTTTAACTTTTTTTTATTATTTTTGTTACTTCTCTCTTTTTTACGCTGCACTTAACGATTTTGTCACGCATATTTTATACTAGCATATATTTCCTTACGTTGGTACTGTATTTGCGTTTACTGGTTGAAAAAGATAAAATTGTAATTGTAAAGCGTAAAAAAAAAAAGTAATCAAGTTATTCGTACACATACCACGTTAAAATGGAAAATCCATGGCACACTTTTTCTTCTTTCCCAAACGTATTCCTATCGCTCTCGGCTCGAGCTGCATGTTGCTGTTGTTGAAATTTTTCTTCGTTAATTTTTCACGCCACATGAATTTAACACCCAATCTCCGCTGAGTATATCTTATTAAACGTTTATCAGTAAAAACTCGGTTAATTAATTTGTAGTGGAATACAATTACCACGTAATTGAGTAAAAAGTCTTATTTTTAATTAAGAGAAAACTCAGCAGTTAAAGATTTACTCTCGGGAACACGTACACACATAAGGTACTGCAATTAATCGTATATTATCAGTAAAGTATACATACCTTGCCGTCAATAAAGTTTCTTGTTATCCATAGGAATTTAATAAAGTACCTATAGAGATTCAGTGAAAGATCATCGTCTTCGAGTGGTTCTGATTTAAGACAATTAAAAGAATTTTATGGATATGCATCTCGCGATACGTCAGCCACTGGCACATGAATAATAAAATAAACAAGATACTAACCGCATGTAAAATTGCTTCAGAGATGAATCTGTTGTATTTATTATTGATTTAAATTATTTATCAGAGGGTTAATTTGACCATTGGTGTAAAAGATTTAGAAGCTACATTTTTTTTCAAATTTTTCTCAACTAAAAAAAAATTTATCTTCTGTAGGTATACAAGCTATCTGAATAATCAACACATGGTATTTGAAATTCGTGCGCTGTGCGAGTGCTCAGGTGATCTCATGTTGATAATGCAGGTCTCTTTGGAGTGTTTCCGACATCTGGCGCCACCTAAGCCGTTTTGTCTTCTGCAACGATTTCCGCAACACACTGCAATCGGGTGCCAAAAAGAGGGAAGTAAACACGTGTGTTGTGGTACCGATTGTTCTGTTGGGTTAAAAAAGTTTCTTGGTTGTTTACTGTGACTCGTACACTCTTATTTACTCAAAAAGGTGAGTTTTCTTTTATATTATCCTTGGATTAATTAGAATCGTGCTTATATAATTAAGTTGAAGCATCGTGTAGGTTATATTTCGAGACCAACGTGCAATGTTTGTTCCCGTTGAAATTCAAACTTTTGAACACACTATACATGTTTTTCTATGGACAGTCAAATAACAAATACATTACATTTTCAGACACATCACAAGATGGCAAAGTCGCTAAGGAGTAAGTGGCGAAGGAAATGCAGAGCAGTCAAAAGGGTGAGGTACGGAGAGAAAGAATTGGCCAGGCTTAAGAAAACATTGGGAATTGACGAGAATGCGTCTAAAGATGTGGAAATGTCCGATATCCAAGAAATCGCCACAGGTAAATAGTATAGTTTAAACAATTTTAAAACCAACTTGCTCTTCTTCAATGAGGTTGTAGAGATACAAATTCCAGAACAAATTTTATCTTTTCAGTTACAAATGCTCAAGCCATTAAGGAGAATAAGAATAAAAAAGTTGTACAAGGAAACATGGAAGATGAGGAAATGGACGATGGAACTGCAAAGGTTTACAGTAAAAAAACCATGAAAGACCAGTACGGGAACTATCCAGTTTGGATAAACCGCAGGAAACTGATGAAACACAAAAAAGGCAGAGCAAAGACAAAGAAAGGAACCATACAGAGGGACAAGAAAGTTGCAAAGAAACAAAAAAAAAGGCGTACTAAGGGAAAAGAGAAAATCGAGCAGGCGTAATTTGTAGATTGTAAAACGACTTTTTATTAATAAAATATGGAAAATTTTCCATTGATAAAAAATGTATTTTATTACAATGGGTAATCGTATTATTAAATGTATTTAATTATACTACGTTTGTAGTGAAATACAAGAAAATAAATGCATCTTGGCAGTGACAATGGCGTTGTTTCAACAACATTTGAATCATATTTCATAAAATATGTATATCTTTTTCACAATTCATCGATCGCATCTTTTGTTCGTATGACGAAAATACTTGTTTCTATAGCAATATCACTATAATCTAAATTTAACTAATGTAGGTACTACCATATATACCAGTTCTACATCGCAATCTTAGTCGGTTTTCAAGATCAATCACTCTGTTGCTCAAGTGTTGAATTTTCCTCGTCTCGAACTCATACAATTTGATTTTGTTTCGCAAATCGTAGAGTTCTTGCTGCATCGCTTGCTGTAGAACAAAAATGAAACGGTTTAATAAGTTCGTTTGACCAAAGTTACTTTTTTTTTACTAGTCAACTCTTAAGTATTACCATATTTTGAATACTCCTTCGGATTTCATTAACACTATCGATGGCTGAGGCTATCCTGGCGGTAATTTCACTAGTATCCATCTCCTTTTTCTTCCCCTTGGCAAATTGCTGTAACATTTTATTTGATTTTTGAGGTAAAAACAACAAAAGCTGCAATAATTCATCGCCTACCTTTTCTAGCTTGACAAGTCTCCTGAGCAGCTCCTCGTAACTGCTCTCCTCCACTTCTTCGGCAACCTCGTTCTCCGTATCTGCACAACAAAAAGATCACCAATTATAGCTCAGCTGAATATTGTGTGGTGTATAAGAGAAAAATAAACTAGGCTGTTAGGGAAGGCAGAGATAAACAAATAGCGGAAAGAAAATAGAGTAATCGAGCACGAATATAGCAGAGGGAAAAAAATACAGGGATTACGAAAAACAGGGAGTGATGTATCGAGATCACAATATTTCGCGGCTCTCCCGCTCCACATGCTTCGTGTCACCAGGGACTTAAAGATAGAACCTCTGGAATGCGAATTCGCGGGAGGAATAACATAATAATATACCAACCGCGCAGTATCGGCCGTTTCGTGGTCGTCGTTGTCGTTTCCTCCTCGAAATCCTCCTCCAAGTCTCGCGCCTCCAGTGCCGTGCCGTCGCTATCTGCGAACAAACGTGTGTTATCGTCATTTTCGTTTTTCATTGAAATAAATTAATAATTAAATAAAAGTGGTGTTCAAAGTAACATGGGTGTAAAGAGATCGTGACAATTAAATGGATACCATTCTTTCGACACGAGTGGCGATCGGGTTGCAATTCGAACCCACTTCTGCAGTAACACTCGTAGCTGCCAGGTACGTTTCTACAGGTCTGGTCGCATGGTTTTTCAGTTACGCACTCGTCCACGTCTGTAATGTGAAAAATAGAAAAAATAAAAAACAGAGCTCATACATACAGGCGTATTGTGCACAGCGATTGAATTTCCCCGAGTCCCTATACGCGACGAATGTACGTACACAGCACTTCTCGAAAATACAACCCGTGTGAGCGCAACAAAGTATACGTGCGTTCCAAAGAGATCGGTTTCTCCTCTCTTGGTACAACTCCACGCGGCTTTATCGCAATATGTTATACATTACGCAAAGTGGAAGGAAGGAAAGAACAATTTCTCCCGATCCTCGTCAAAAGAACGAATACCAGGTCCATACTAGATAATTGATCGTTTGTTCGTGCTCTCGTAAAACTTACCGATCAATCGGACCTGTAAGAAAAAGGAAAAAAAAAAACCGAGCGCACAATCAGTAGCCAAATCGATCGATTGCACCCACGCTCGGCAAGACGATCCTCTACAAGTATATATGTATGATATACATCGGTAACCTTCAGCTCGAGCCGTTCCTCGATATCAGCTCAGACACGAGCCGAAACGTGCACACTCTGTGCAATCGAATAAAGATATCTTGTTCCGCGCACATATAGTTCTCATTTCTCTTTTCCCCCGTATAGTTTTTGCCGACGAGCGATTTATTCTCTGTCCGACGCGAATCAATGGGCCGTGAATTTTGTCGAACGAGCACACGTGTTCCATACAAAGGAAGATTAATTAAACTACATCATCCCGAGCCATGTAAAGCCGAGCTATGAATTTTTCACATCTCAACGTGTTGTATCGTCAATTTGTTGTTTTATCGGGTATCCACTAATAAGCCATTTTTTTTTTTTTTTTTTTTCTTTATCAGGAAAAAAATACTGATTATAATACCCTTGTAGGTGTACTGTGTTGTTTGGTGCACGTGTACGTGCACCAAAGGATATTATTTATAGTCGAAAACGCGGAAAAACAAGGAGATCGATAAGTGTACAGAAGAAAGAGGGGTAAAGTAAACGCGGACGTCACGGGCTGTGTGTGTACTTAGCTTCGCGTAAAGGACAGATAGGACGAGGTGAGGAAAGGGGGGAAGGGAGAGAATCGATGAGCAAAGGCAAAATATAGTGACAATGCGAGCGAGGAGTCGGCTGATTTAATTAATGCTCCTGAAAGAGATGTGATGGGCTAGTGCTCGTCGTTGTGACGCACGAGAGGACGAGCGTGTGCGTGTGTGTACATTTGATCATCCGGTAAATTTGTCGGAACACTCTTTAGTCCCCCCGACGCGGGAGATCGCGTATTTGGCTAACAAATGGGATGGTCCACGAATAATTATTTCACTCGGTTTAATTTTGTCCCCCAGGGGTTGGTGCCGTTGTATGTATTTTTCTTTTCAACTTTTTGTGTTTCAATTATCAGCGTTCACGTGTTATTCCCATGTACACACATACCTTTTCCTGCTGATGTACCAATTATAAGGCCGCAATTGCTTCGCGATATTACGTATCGCGCGTAAAGTAATTACTTTATTTGCTTCTCTCGTCTACGATCGAGTCGCGAGATTCGCGACTTTCCGAACGAGCGAGCGTTAATTACAACTACGGCGAGCGTGTGGGGCAAACGTTTGTAATGACGTTCCCGCGGCACATTGGGAAAGGTGGCAAATCTCAAATATTCCAGAGTAGCGACAATGCGAATCCATCACAGCGATGCGTCAACAAATTTCGACCGCGAAACCGAAGCGTTCGACGCATACGTAAACAATGAACCCTACGCGTGTGGCTGATGTACGGTGCATCAGTGCCAGTTGCAGCAGCCCCGAGCTGTAATTCATGACCCCCTGATCTCAGGTATAGGTGTGTATAAGTGATGGGCGTCCTCCTTCCGCTCGGAGAGGGACCGGAGGAAACGCGTAGCACATGCGGGGGTGCAGCAACCATCAATCCCTCGAAAACCGTGTCGCGCCCTGGAATCGCTCATGAATGGCTCTCGGTCGGAGATTAATTGATCCACACTCTCCCTCTGTGCGCCAATAATTTCACGTATAGCGGGTGTAAGGTCGGGAGGCAAGAATCGAATTAGAAGGGCAGGGAGAGATTTTCGTGTTTACGAGGCGGAGGGACCAAAGCGCGGATAATTAGGTCGGGGCTCGGAGTATATATATACGTATATATACATGGAGTGACTTTCGGTGCTGCTATTGGTCCCGTAAACTTCATTATGAATTTGTTATGCGCCGAGACTGTATAGGCTGCCCACAGAGGCGAATCTCGGTGGGCGTACATTGTCACGTGCATAGGTGGGAGCTTCGGCCCAAATATCTATCGGTTAGAGAAAAGCGAAAATACAACACAAATTTGCGCTTAACGGTTGAACGACCTCATGTAGATAGAAATTCGATTTTTTTTTCCCGAGTACGATTCGTCATCGAAATTCCGAAATGACGTACATCGGTGATGTAGGTTAAATATATAATATCTATGAATATTACTTTTCGGGATTTTGACCCATCGGAAACAATGACAAACCGTACTCGAAAAAATAATGATTTGGTTTTTATACTTAACCGATGACCTCTGAATTTTGTTCAATTTGAAAATTTAATTTTTCTTACAAAAGACACCCACCCCTTTCTTTTCTTTGCATCCAAAGCCTGTAAGTGAGTATCTAGGTATCGATAATTTCCTTTACCGGGAGGTTTCGAGAGCTTTTTTCCCTAGAAAATCTCTATCCGGATCCTTCGGCATGAGAGGCTATTCCTCGACTCAAGAAAATGGCCCCTATCGAAATAACGGCTCGTTGGGGATCGATCTCAGATTCGTGCTGGTGCTCGGCGTCTCGACCCCCCCCCCAACCTTGTCTCCCATCACGCGAAAAGTGCACGATGCTGCTTCTTCCGCCTTTGGCTCGTCTCCTCGCTCGCTTTGTCAAGCTCGATGGAAAATATTTACTCGGCTGCTGCTGTACTGCCGATCGCTCGATACGACTGTACGCGGCTCAAGGAAAAATCGGTAGTTTACCTATACGTACTTTCCGTGGATGATGGGGCATGCACACTGTGTAATGTATGCTTACCCGTTTGGCAGTAGATGCCGGAGTATCCCTTGGGACAGGTGCATTTGCCGGGTGCCGAGCAGACTCCGCCGTTCTGGCAGGGTAGCGAACACACAGCTGGAACACACAATTTTTCACAGTTAAAAGTTTGAGCGTGTAACGGCATAACGTCACAATATAAGAGTGGAAGCTCGTTTGTGCCAAATTGTTTTGGCAAACGTGCGTTTTCTTTATTTTTTCACTGCTGCGTATGACGTTTGACGTTTGTCGTTGAGATCGTAATCGGTAAGAATCTCCTGGCAAAAAAAAAAACTTGATCGAAAGCTTTTCGATAGGAATTATTTTTTGCTTTTTTTCAATTTATACCGCGATTATAATAAAGAAAAAAAAAAAAAAAAATTCAAATCCATTCACTGGAAATTGTTCAATCTATTGATTGCTTATCGATACGTATAGGGTGCACTCCAAGCGAGAAAACCCAAAGAGAGAAGCGTCTTACTCACGTTTGTTGCAGCCGAAGCTCAATCGCGTGACCTGCATCCAGCCGGGGCAGCAGAGGAATCCGGACGGCAGATCCGCGTAGACCAGCCTGCACACAGATCAAAGAGAGACCTTTTAATGGTGGTACGCGACTCTTACCACCCCCCTTCCCCCCACGTACTTAATCACTATTACGTTATGCTGTTGGTGTATATATACACGTGGATGGCTTTTAAAGCGAGAGGGACGAATTACATGTGTTATGTATACCTGGTTGATCGATAGGACGGGCTCGCGAGAGTGCTCGTAATCTTATATCCAGCATCGAGCGTACGAATTATTTTTTCCAAGGGTTATACAGTGTGTGTGTGTGTGTGGGTGACACACGAGCCCCGCGGCTTTCGAGTTTTTCAAACTCACGAGGGGGCCCCCGTACGTGCGTCACTGTTTAGCGTGCACTCGGAAGATGATTAATGGCCAGCTATTTTGCTTTCAATAGGCTTATACAGTGCTATTTGATATCGTTAGTTTTTTTTTTTTTTTTTTTTTTTCAGGTGAAAGGTACACAGTTTTTCTTTGATGAGCAAAAATGTAGGTTTTCCATAGACTTGGTCACATTGTTCGGGATCGAAGGAGCGATCGGGCGTCAAAATTAATTTCGGTGCTAATGGCTTTCTGTGTCGAGGTATCGCGTCTCGCTCTCTATATACGATACAATAACTGTATATATATACATATATATATATATATATATATATATCTTCGCGGTGCTGAAAGCTCTTAACGCGAAAATTCATTATCCGAAGTCTTTTACCCGTCGTACATGTATGCTCGAAGCAATTTCACGCTCATTATGTATTCGTGTATACTGCTATCTTGATACCTGATTTTCTAAATGAATGAATGTGAAATAAAAAATTACCGAGATAATTTTGTACATAGCTTTTTCTACAGTGCTTTGTGCAATGCAACGTCAATCACGCGGTTGAGCTTTTTTTCTTCTTTTAAATTAATTACGTTCAATTTGTGCAAAGTAACGCTAATTAAACGTTAGAGGATTTAATTCACTCGAGCCGTGATTGTTCATTCATGGTAAGATTTTGAGAAACTCTCACCTGGCTTGCCGGCTCCTGTGATGTGCCAGAGAGGAAGTCGTGGAGCACACTCTCCTCCTGTGAAAACAGAATGTACATTTAATTAAATCAATTTCCAAGCTGATCCAGCCGCAAACTAGTCATCCTAGAACTGTATATATACAGCGAATTAACGCACATCGAGAGTAGGAGCGATAAAATTGGCAATACGGAGGCAGAAACAGAGAGAGAGAGAGAGAGAGAGAGAGAGAGAGCAATAGTGCAAAGCTCTTCCTCGTTTGCTCGCTCAAGGGCTTTGAACGTGTGCTTATATATACGTTTGCAATGTCTCTTTCTCGCGCGTATGAAAAATAGTCATCGAGCAATGCCGATCTCACAAGGAGAAAATATAAGCCGTGGGGCAGGTGAAAATTAAACCAGCAAGGCCGTGAGCTTGTATCTGTATGTGTGCGTGAGCTTGAGAGCGTGTAGGTGAACGGTACGAATATTTGTGCGCCCAAGGGCTTGAGGAAGCGATACGGGAAAGCTGGGAATGAACGTTATTTATCGCCGTATCGCAAAAAAAAAGTTTATTTTTTGTTGCCTTTTTTTTTTCCCTCCAACGGAGCTCTGTACATGGTATGTCGAAGAGAGAGACACCTCTATTTTCCGGTCAGCTTTTCGTTTTATCCAAATTATTATCAGAGAAAGACTTTGCACGTCATACTTTTGAAAAGGTAAGACAAAAATAAAGCTACGAAAATTCCAATGAATCATCTACCGTTAATTTGTCGTGGGTCTCGAAAACCTTGGTCTATACAATCGGTCGCGAACTCCACTCGTGACGAGCTTTGGAAATAAAAACGTCAATCCCCAAGAAGTACGGCCAATCTCATAACGCCCGAAACTCGCCCTCCAAGGCCAGCGATTAGATCCCCCCTCCCCCCAAGTACTGGCTGATTAGCGACATCGAGAGAGAGAAACCCTCGGGTGATTAACAATGATTGCTCGGGGGAGATATCGCGGCAGCAGCGTATTATAGGTATAACCACACAGGTGGCGATCGTCATTCATAGCGAACCAACATCCGGGAAACAATTACAAACCGGTGTATGTGTATACGTGTGAGATTTCGGTGCCACGCAACGCAGGGAGGAAAAGTCCATTGTATGCGTGTGCGGTTCAATTTGTGGGGGGTACAGAGCGTACGCGCGACGTTGATTGTATCGGGAGCTTGAGGTATATTGGATACCGGGCCATCGCTCGCACTCTTGCTCTACCACGAGGGTGTGGTGTATAGGAAGCTTCCGTCGTTGGGTCAGGGTTGGAGCTCCAATTTGTTGTTTCCCTGTTCCTCCTTTGACTCGTCACCGAGATCGCTGACTCTTTTGAGATTCACGATTACGGGAGGAGAAGAATATTATTTGGCGTGTACATTTTGTACACTCGTGGAACGCGCGGGGAAGGCCGAGCTTGCGGCTCGCGTGTGTACGCGATTGCGTTTCAAAAGCACCGCAAAACTATTATGCACCGGTGGGCAGCCCCGAAAATTTAATCAACGAGCCGAGCAGTTTCTCCGAACAATGTAAAAGGACGACCGCCGGTAATGCGGATCTAGCAAACTGTACGACGCGCTCCCGCGGTGTGAGCCGAGTGCTGTGCGGGAACGAAGCTTCAGAGTAGCGCAAACCTCGGCTAAAGCGACCGCAGCGTGTATACATACGCGTACAACAGTACTCATCTCGAGAAGGGATTATTGTTATTACACGTGGCCACCCTCGAGTTGTTTACGAGTGTTTGTTAACGCCACTTGTGCTGTTTGAGGATGCTCGTTTGCTTTTGGTCGCCGCATGCAAGGAAAACGGGGAAAGAGAGGATCTGAAAAATAAGATGTAGAATTGTTGTACTCGCAAAAAGTGATTTAGACAAAGTTCCATAGGTGTAGCAGAGTTACGTGTAACTTTCGCAGCCTACTGTTTTTATGAAAGCTGGTGCAGTCGTAGCTTGGGGCACGAAATCAGCATCAAAAACAAGGAAAACTTGCAACCAGTACATAATATGTAGATGCCATTGTAAAGACATATTCAGTCGTGTGCTGTACATAAATTTAAAAAAAAACGCTTTTCTCGATAAGCTCGAACGATTGCATGAGTTTTATTATCTTCCACATGCACAGCGCATGAAAATGTGCCGCGTAAGGGCCAATAGAAGATTTCACTAGCCACAAAGTGTAGAGGATATCTGAGTAACTTTGCTTGGCGTGTTTGGTGCGTTGATTTGAAAATCTTTAGTATCAATATTCTATACATAGGGTCTCGTTTTCTGTATGATAGGCGTTCGCAAGAGCAGTCAAAGAGCGAGACAAAAAAAACCGTAAGAATGATTATCCTGCCCCCGAAGGCCAAAGCGATACTGTTTTAGTCGAGTGTTGTGAGAAAAGCTGTGCAGGGTGATATGCTTGCTATGGGATGCAATTAGATATATGTACTGTGAGGCGCCGCTTGAATAAAACACGATACTTTTTGCTTTTTGGTTTGCGTAGCTTTTCCTCTTCGTGTACTCCTTTTTCATTATACATGAGAAAGTGTTGCAGCTTTGACTTTTTCCAAGGCGTGATCGGTTTTTTTTTCATATTAATTTGTGTTACGCGTACAGGGGAGGGGGGGGGGTAACCTTCGTCATAATAGCTAAAAAATCTCAAACGACAAAACTACTCGGTGTCAATGGTAATTTGGTACTTGTCTGTCGTCTACAGACTTTTTACTGTTTCAGCAATAATTTTTTCTGTTTAGAACAATAATTTTTATAGCAAGTACAGTGATTTTTAATGTTTGTAAAGTAGATTATTGACTATTTTACTATACAGTATTTAAATGGTAAAAATTAATTTGCTAAAAGTAAAAAGATCCTAACTGCTGAATGACACCTGATTACTATTCCAGAACAGTGATTTTATTTTTTTCTCTTAGTGAATCGTTTACTTTTAAAACTCGAGAAAAATTTGGCGTGCAACAAATGAAGAAGTGGGCCCACGTGTGTAAATTTATTCATACCTAAAAACTCTGTTATAGACATCGATTTTTTCAAAATTTTCATCCACTCTTCCAAGCTTGACCGCTTTTTTGATCGTTACACTCTACCGTTTTATATCTCTTGTCTCGTGCATTCATAATGGCTTACCATTACTGCTGGCCAAACGTGTCGAAACACCGTTTTTTTAACCAAAACCGAATATACTTTACGATCCTCCCATTAAAAAAGTGAAAAATCGTCGCGTAATCTCGTAATCCCCTATATCTAAGAAGCAGACAAGGTAATTCGTTTTCTCTCTGTGTAAACACACACTCGCTCACCGTAGCTTACCTTACAAATAATCAGGTGAATCAAATCCAATAGTACTTTATCGTCAAACAACTGCGGCAACTGCTACATTGGCAATGCCGGACTTGATGATTTTATGATTAAAAAAAATATCGTTGGCAAAACTTTGACCGTAGCCACGGTGTAGTGCATACGCGTGCGTTGTCAATTGCCTTGCGTAAGCCACGATAAATTTTCTCACGGGCATATAGACATTCATCTCGACGAGCCCCCCTGACGTTTATCGATCGCTAAAAAATCCATCCATTTTATTTTTTTCTTTCAATTTCAATTTCAGCAAATAGAGAGCTTTTTCTTGGAGACGCGACGAAAATCGATTGTTAGCGGTAGAATGCGGGATCGCTAATTAATTGAGGAGGAATCCAGTACCTCGCGGGTCTTAAATCAATTCCATGGCCACGCACAATGGGCGCAGTGATGCGATAACATCTATTTTCTCTCGCCTCCTCCTCCTCCCCTTTTTTTTCCTTTGAGAGCTTTCCGAGGATTGAAATAAAATTCCATTTTTTTTATCGCGCAAAATACATAGTAGAGCTTTTTTCCCCGCCACCAACCACTGACTGAGTTAGGGATTTTTAAATTAACGCTGGATGGAAGCAAAACGGTTTGTCGAACCTTTACAAAGATTTCGTAAGTCAATTTATTCACTTTTTGTGTTAAACAAACGGATGCTACACGTATACATATGAACTCACTAACGACGAAAGCAAGGATAGATGGTGAGGGAAAGAGTTTCGTTGTCTCAGTTACCAGCGCCCGAAACTAACGGATCATTTGTACATCCATCACATCCAGAAACTACCGGTGAAACAAGAGTAAGCGATCCACCAGTCATCCCTTCGAAAAGGAGTCGGGGCAAAAAAAGGGAAAAAAGGCTTCGATCGAGGGAAGGTCGCACACGCGAGAGTTGGATTCCTCGCAGCTCTTTTCTTCGAGCGGTGAGCTAGATACGAGATTAAGCTACTCTGTTGGCGTCTACTGATATATTACCTCGTTTTCCAACTGCACCGCGACCCTTGAAATATATACTTGGTGATCAGAGTAGCTAGAATTGATTTACGAAGCTGGCTCGATTAGAACTTTTTTTTTCTCTGAAAATTAATTTTCCCTGCCTTTCATCCCTTTTTTTATGCTACTACTATTGTTTTCGTGAAGATAAGACGATAACGTGGTGCCTACATGTATACCTAATAATTAGTCACGAAAAAATTTGTAGTTTCTACGCCTAAGGGGTGTTATTTTCCACGTAGTTGATTTTAATGTTATATGTATAAGGAACTTGGATATTCATAGTATACACATTGGCCAATAAGCAACAATCGTAGCCGGTGTCTGTGGAAAATATTTATCGCCGACACTTTAAATCATACCAACGATGAAAAAACAAAGTTCTCGAGACCTAAGAAAGTGATGTTTCATCTTGAGTCTAAATATAGAACGCACGAGGTTCATGGGCAATATCTGCTTCTCTTCCTCTCTTTCTTGCCTCGAGCCACGCACATCGCGCACGAGTGTAATTTCCGCTCCTCTTCTTCCTCCTCGGCTTGGAAGACAGTCCCATCGCGCGAAACTTTCTTGGAGAAGCCAGCCCCTAGGGAGACTTGGCGCGCAAAGTGTCCAAATTATGAAATTACCATTGATGACGAGCCGCGGGCGAATGTGCAGAAGGAGCACAGAGTAAGATAACTACACCTCGCGATCTCTCACTCAGTTTTTAA